ATAACCCGCCATAAGAGGATAGTAGATGTGCTTTATTTACCTATGAATAACCCTCGTCATGATAGGATAGTTGGCGCTCTTTATTTACTTATGAATAACCCTTGTCATGAGAGGATAGTAGAGGCTCTTTATCTACCTATAAATAACTCTTGTCATGGGAAAGGATAGTCAGCATCACTCCTTACTTTTATCACCTCACAAAACACTACAGAAGGTCACAGCCCAGTCCCTGTTCACTCTACGCACTGGTGGGTGTCCCTTTTACTTTTAAATGGCTGCTGTGAGGCAGCTCATGCTTGAGGATTTATAAACAATCTTTTACACTTTGCCTAAAACAAGACTTACAAGAATTTGAACGAATTATTCCACCAAAATAAAATTTGGTCAAACAAAGTCACAATAAAGGACATTTTCGAGCGTAAAGTGTTACACTAGATTTAACGCAATTTTTACTAGCACTACTTAGAACAACTGAGGCGCACTTTGGGAACAAAAGTTCTTTTTAAAAATCATTATCGGAGCTGCCTTCACCATCATCGTGCCATAGCAGTTGAGGCAGCTCATAGATGGGTCGAGGCACTCAGTGCAAATTTTTCAAAACTTGTGGATAGGATAGAAAGGAAAGAATATATATATGGCACAGTCTGCCAACTCTCATATCGGGGTGAGGGTGGGTGGGGGGGTGGGGGGGAGACAGACCTGCATACAGCAGGGAAGGGAAATAAAACATCAAATGTGACTACATTAAATGTCTGTAAAAAGAAAAGAAAAGACTTTCAAATTTCAAGGACTTATCAAGAGCCAGTCTCCAAGAACCAACAACGGAGAGAATGAGAGCAATTTTTTGGGGGGGTCATAACTGTGAATTCATTACGGTACATACAGAAGGAACTATAATGAAAAGCAAGGCAATTTCTTTAAAATCCAGTGTCAAAACAAACTTCTCTCAATTCATAAACGTACAGTAAATGTAGACACATTATCCAAAAAAGCACCTTTCAATGACACTATGCCGACATCGCACTACATGTGGAAAGTTCCTAATTTTGGCATACATAGGAAATCATTTTATCTATGGTCTAAGGGGCTGTTTCAAAGAGAATATTTAGCAAATATCTTCATCATTTTATTTTTTTTTTGAGTAAAAGGAAACATACCAACATGACAACGGTCATTTAGCGCTGGGAAAGAGTAAAATAAAGAGATAGAAACAACAGAGAGAAAGAAAACAAGCAAGACGTATCAGTAGCACCCTCTGCACGCCCTCCAAATATTTTCAAAAGTAGTTCCATCATTTGACAATGAGGGAGAGATCCATCATTGGATACAGATAATATAAATTCCCCGCCTGCAATCGGTGTAACAAAGGTATTTTATAATACTTCCAAAAAACCCCAAAAAAATCAACAATATGTTGCTCCCAGTAGGTCAAATTAGAATTAATACTATAACTAAGAAATAAAGCCGCAATATTCCACAGACAAAAAGGTCACTTTCAAAGTACAATTATTGGCGGGTTTTTTTTTTTTTATCAATAAAAAGAAGGGATTATATTTTCATTTCTCTTTAAACGTCTATAACCAGCACAATCTAGAGCAGTGACAAAATTTCATAAATTATTTGTGGACTTTTACACATTTTCAAAAAATAATGTCTCATGTTCACCGTTTTCACAAGTAAAAATGATTCTTTCATACACATGTTTCGTGATTGAATACGTCATTAAGATAATCATACACGGATGGAATTTTCAATGTATATGAAAAAAAATATCTAGTTTTTTGGCTCAATTTAAGTTAAAAACACCCTGTATTTTAATATGTCTTCAAATTTATAATCAATTGTGACTTGTTCAACAAACAAATGTATCACAGAAAAAAGTAGTATTGATCTAATATCTACAACACAGAGAATTTCATTAGTATTTCAAAGATAACAGGCTCCTGCAAGCAAAATCTAAGATCTGAAAAAAAAAAAATTTCTATTCCACAAAATTTTAATAAAGCTCCACAATGTTATACCCCTGAAAAGTAAAAGAAATGAATTGAGTAGGTTTTCAAATGGCACCACATAATTTGACATTACTATGAAAAAGAAAAAAAAACCAACCTAAAGAGACAAAATCTGAAAGTGTTTTCTATGACCTGCAACAATAAATCTTCTCTCCTCAGCCAGCCATTCTGCCGTAGACACATTCAATTCTTCCTTTAACCACAGCTTAACCAGATCAACATATTGA